GCTGCAAAGAGAGACTGACAAGGAGACACAAATAGTGTTTTCGTAATGATTGCTCGCAGAAGAACACAAACACGGTCTCCTAGGGGTGACAGGAACCGGAGTTCTGATTCCATCCTTCGCATTCGTCGGGCTGCCTCTAAATTCACTCTTCCGGAGGACTATTAATATTTCAGGAAGGGCCTGTCGTCAGAAACTAGGAGCCTGCGCTTCAAGCAATGCCCTTAGCTTACAGTCGACGCATCAAAAAGGCAGCCCCTCAGACCGGTGATGGCTGGTGCGAGTGGTAGGGCAGGAGGCAGGAGGACCAACAGTAGGTGGCGCCAGAGCCAACGACAGAGGCGATTAATTTGAGTTCTGACCTCTTTCTCCCCCCGTTGAGTTCTGCAAAGGCTGCACTAGATGTAAGTTTGAAGTCAGGCAGCTGGGGCTGCCTGAGGATGAACTTAAGTTGGGGCATTGTCCAACTCCCCCTAATGGAGCAGTGTTATGTACTGAGTTGAATAGGATCCAAAATGCAGCAGTCTGATTGGTCCTAGAACAATAGGATCCAGAATGCAGCAGTCTGATTGGTCCTAGAACAATAGGATCCAGAATGCAGCAGTCTGATTGGTCCTAGAACAATAGGATCCAGAATGCAGCAGTCTGATTGGTCCTAGAACAATAGGATCCAGAATGCAGCAGTCTGATTGGTCCACAGGAACCACCAAATCCAGCTCCAGGTGGAAGTGAATCCGCAACCTGATTGGCCTACAGGAGAATCCCGGAATTAGCCAATCACATGGGGCCCATTGTTTAAATAATGTATATAAAGCAGACATTCTGGGGGAACTTCCATTCCTCCTCACCACTATGAGCTGAATAAAGAGCATGAAATCCACTCTCGACTCAGAGTATATTTCAAGTAGCTTCCAGTGACTTGGACCCCCTCAATCCACTGAAGGACCATGTGGTCAGATTCATACTGCGCAGCCTCATTATCTCACCACTCACACAGAGAATCAGAGTTGGAAGGGACTTCCCAGGGCCATCTAGTCCAACCCCCTGCAATGCAGGTATCTCAGCTAAAGCATCCATGACAGATGGCCTTGCAACCTCTGCTTAAAAACATCCAATGAAGGAGTCTACCACCACCCGTTCCACTGTTCCATTGTAAAACAGCTCTTACCATCAGAAAGTTCTTCCTGATGTTTAGTCAGAATCCCCTTTCTGGTTACTTGAAACCTACCTGCCCACAGACTGTCTTGCCAGAGTGGTGCATGCTCTAGTTATCTCCCGCTTGGACTACTGCAATGCGCTCTACGTGGGGCTACCTTTGAAAGTGACCCGGAAACTGCAATTAATCCAGAATACCTTTAAAGCCCTAAACGGCCTCGGTCCAGTATACCTGAAGGAGTGTCTCCACCCCCATCGTTCAGCCCGGACACCGAGGTCCAGCGCCGAGGGCCTTCTGGCGGTTCCCTCATTGCAAGAAGTGAGGTTACAGGGAACCAGACAGAGGGCCTTCTCGGTAGTGGTGCCCGCCCTGTGGAATGCCCTCCCATCAGATGTCAAGGAAATAAGCAGCTATCCTATTTTTAAAAGACACCTGAAGGCAGCCCTGTTTAGGGAAGTTTTTAATATTTAATGCTGTATTGTTTTTAACACTCAACTGGGAGCCACCCAGAGTGGCTGGGAAACTCAGCCAGATGGGCGGGGTATAAATAAATTATTATTATTATTATTATTATTATTATTATTATTAATTATATTGGTTCGAGTCCTACCCTCTAAAGCAGGAGAAAACAAGCTTGCTCCATCGTCCATGTTAAAGCCCTTGAGATATTTGAATATGGCGACCATATCTCCTCTGAGTACAGTCATACCTCATGTTACATTTGCTTCAGGTTGCGCGTTTTCAGGTTGTGTCCCACGGTGACAGAGCAAATCAAAAGAATTTAATGCTGGTTGCTTTTCTTTACAGTAAGATTTTGTGGGTTTTTTTTAAATGATGTTTATTAAAGTTTCAAAAAAAATACAAAAAATACAGAATACAGAAAGAAAAAGAATAAAGTTTTTTAAAAAAATATAACCAAAGAAGTAAAAAATAAAAGAAAACATACCAAATAAAACAATTAAAAGGACATTAAATTTCCATAACCTATCTTCCTTATACTTATTTCCCCGGACCTCCTCATACCTCCCTTTTTGTATTCCAGTTCAATTTGTTGATTCAGCAAATCCTTACCATTAAAATTACCCAGTTGCAAACCTTTTTTCATATCTCTTAAAGCATTACAGCTAAAAAAACCCTTAGTTTCTATCCAACATCCTTCTAAGATTCCTTAATTTTACAATATTTCTGTAAGTAGTCTTTAAATTTCTTCCAGTCTTCTTTCACCGTCTCTTCTCTCTGGTCTCGGATTCTGCCAGTCATTTCCGCCAGTTCCATGTAGTCAATCACAGTAAGATTTTGAGATAGTCACTTTGAGAAGCTCTCCGCAACCCCTAACTGTAGCCATCCCTGGAAATCTAAGCAATTCTTCAGTGGGAGAAGGGTTAAGGAGAGATTGTGTACACTGTTTCTTTGGTTCTGCCAGACGATAGAACAGCCTCCAAGGAGAAGTCAGTGTGTGCCCCATATCTGCCCCTCTACCCCCACAGCTAGAGGATACCCAGAAGGCTTTAGAAATAAGCCACGCACAGCGCAAAGCCCACCAGGTCATTTTGAATCAAGGTGTACAATTTATAATAATTATATAATAATTTATTATTTATACCCCGCTCATCTGGCTGAGTTTCCCCAGCCACTCTGGGCAGCTCCCAATCGAGTGTTAAAAACAGTACAGCATTAAGTATTAAAAACTTCCCTGAACAGGGCTGCCTTCAGATGTCTTTTAAAAATATGATAGCTGCTTATTTCCTTCACATCTGAAGGGAGGGTGTTCCACAGGGCGGGCGCCACCACCAAGAAGGCCCTCTGTCTGGTTCCCTGTAACCTCACTTTTCGCAATGAGGGAACCCCCAGAAGGCCCTTGGCGCTGGATCTCAGAGTCCGAGCTGAACGATGGGGGTGGAGACGCTCCTTCAGGTATACAGGAAGGATACCCCGCCTTGACACCTTGCTCCTCGACAACCGGCCCACGAGCCTTCGTTTCCGGGGGCTGCTACCTCTCTCCCCGTCTTCCCATCAAGGGTGAACAGAATATCTTTCCATACAGGCCTCAGAAACGCCATTCTGAGATACGGCAGCGCTGGCGAGCCACAGGTTTTGCCACCCCCGCGGCAAAAGATGCCACGCCTACACACTTAGCGCTGAGGATGTTATGTACTGAAGTTCTCACACTGGGCCAGCAGGGGGATACTGTAGATAGTTTTCAGTCAGGTCCACATATGCAAATAAGGAATTGAAAGTGACGTTCAGTAATTGGATAGTTACAGAAAGTGGTTACTGTTGCGTTGTAGTGGAGCTCTATATAAGCAGGCTGGCTGAACCCTTCAGTTCAATTCTGTTCTGGCCTGTGAATAAACAAGAGCTGTTTGAAGAATCGCTGTGTCGTCTGATATGTTCACCCACAACTTAACAGAGGAGCCATGTTAATTTCCTCCTGCTTTATTTCTAGAATTCAGAGACACGTCTCAGTCACGCCATCCGTCCTCCGTGTTGCACATTTCCAAATCAATGCCTCCATCTAACTACCGGTAAATATTGCGGGGATGTGGGTGGCGCTGTGGGTTAAACCACAGAGCCTAAGACTTGCTGATCAGAAGGTCGGTGGTTCGAATCCCCGCGACGGGGTGAGCTCCCGTTGCTCGGTCCCTGCTACTGCCAACCGAGCAGTTTATTCTTTTAAGAGGGATATAAGGGAAGGTACCAGGAACCTGGGACGCAGGTGGCGCTGTGGGTTAAACCACAGAGCCTAGGACTTGCTGATCGGAAGGTCGGCGGTTCGAATCCCCACGACGGGGTGAGCTCCCGTTGCTCGGTCCCTGCTCCTGCCAACCTAGCAGTTTGAAAGCACGTCAAGGTGCAAGTAGATAAATAGGTACCGCTCTGGCGGGAACGTAACCGGCGTTTCCGTGCGCTGCTCTGGTTCGCCAGAAGTGGCTTAGTCATGATGGCCACATGACCCGGAAGCTGTACGCCGGCTCCCTCGGCCAATAAAGCGAGATGAGCACCGCAACCCCAGAGTCGGTTACGACTGGACCTAATGGTCGGGGGTCCCTTTACCTTTACTAACTAAATATCGCAGGCATTAAGCCTATTCCGCCCTGCCCCAATCCTTTGGCAGATTGCTCTGCAGGCTAGCAGTCATTTTAGTCATTCACAAGGCGTCTAAGATATAAGCCCCTTGCTGTGTGGAAATGCATCCCATGCAATATTGCTTTCCTATTGTCTCCCATCTCTTTTGGCCATCAGTTTATCATGTCTGGTCCTTGGAGGTGGGTAGCAAGCAGGAAGATTGGACCTTGGAACCACAAAGAAATAAATAAAATATTAAGAATATCATATAGTAAAAGGCCAGAGGCATTCCTTTCAGGAATTTTAAATGATAATATTCCGAAAGACAAAACTAAATTTTTCTTATGCGCAACATCTGCAGCAAGAATCCTGGTTGCTAAGTATTGAAAAAGGAATCAGTTACCCACTAGGGATTATGTAAGCTTTCAGAATACTTAGAATTAGCCAAATTGAGAGACATAATAAGACAAAAACCAAAAGGTGAAGTGAAAAAAGAATGGGAGTGCCTAAATGAATACCTCAAAAGTCAAGGTTCGAGGACAGAAATCTGGCTGAGTCTGGAATAACTTTGTGAAGTGAAAGGATAAGAAAGAGGGATTTATATCTAGATGTTAGGATAGAGGTGATAAGGAAAACAGGAAGACACAATGAGAGATAAAAGGGGTGTTGTGGGATTGGTGAAAGTCAATGTTTTGTTGTTGTTTTTATAGTGTTTATATTATTAACTTGTAAGATATGGATTTGTTGTGTTTTTTGAGTTGTTGTTGCTTTTTTAGTTTTTCTAATGTTGGTTTTTGTGTGTTGTGTATTGTTTTTCGTGTTGTTGTTGTTGTGTGGAAAATACTAATAAAATTTATTTTAAAAAAGAAAAAAAAGAAAATTGGACCTTTGTTATCTTTCCGCCTATGTAGTACCAATGCTTCTCTCCCCGCACGTTAGAATTCAAACGAGAAACAATATTTACTCCTTTCTCAAAGTGCAATAACATGGTTAGAGCCGTCCCTAAGAAACACCGATCCGCGAGCTTATGCGCTCGCACATCTAAAACCACCTAAGTTACATCAAGGGAGTCAGAAAGTTTGCTTTGTGCTTTTATGCCACATTGTGTGACACGCATAACACATGAGATGTTAGAAGTAAAGATATGGGGAGATGAGGTTTAGCTCAAGGTAAACCAACTGATAGACAGGTTTCAGATAAATCTGGGGAGGGAGAAAAGTTTTGACTTAAGTGCCACAATAAACAGTGATAATCACCCAGGACAGCCACTGTCTGAAAGGCTTTGTATGGAGGGGAAGCCGGGGAAATAAAGGGTAATTGTAACTTGCAAATCTTGAAGCAGGTACTCTGAAAAACATCACCTGAGGGCTTGCAGAGTCACTGTTGAGCTGCAGATTCCCTTTCCTGTGGAAAGGAATGTAACAATTGGATTAAGGGCTGCTAAACAGAAACCTACCATTTCTATAAAATCAGTTTACTTGAACCAAAGCTCCACAAATACTTAGAACAGAATTTCGTACTACAGTGGTACTTCAGGTTACATACGCTTCAGGCTACATACACTTCAGGTTACAGACGCCGCTAACCCAGAAATAGTGCTTCAGGTTAAGAACTTTGCTTCAGGATGAGAACTGAAATCGTGCTCCAGCAGCGCGGCGGCAGCAGGAGGCCCCATTAGCTAAAGTGGTGCTTTAGGTTAAGAACAGTTTCAGGTTAAGTACGGACCTCCAGAACAAATTACGGTAAGTACTTAACCCGAGGTACCACTGTACTCTTGCTGGGATAGCCAACATGGTGCCGTCCAGATCTTGTGGACTACAACTCCTATTTGTATATCTCCTCCGAGAAGCTCAAGCTGGTAAACAAGATTCTCTCCTTCCCCATTTTATCCTGCAAACCACCCTGTAAACAGAGAGATTGTGCTTGGCCTAAGGTACCCCAGCGAGCTTCATGGATGAGTGGGAATTTGAACCTGGGTCTCCCTAGTCCTAATCTGACACTGTGACCAATTATTAGAGCACATTTTGAAGTATACAGGGGATCTGCAGGGAGAAAGAATAGGAAGTCCTGTTGTGTGAGTGTCGTTGTTGTTGTTGTTTAGTCGTGTCCGACTCTTCGTGACCCCATGGACCAGAGCATGACAGGCACTCCTGTCTTCCACTGCCTCCCGCAGTTTGGTCAAACTCATGTCCAACCACCTCGTCCTCTGTCGTCCCCTTCTCCTTGTGCCCTCCATCTTTCTCAACATCAGGGTCTTTTCCAGGGAGTCTTCTCTTCTCATGAGGTGGCCAAAGTATTGGAGCCTCAGCTTCACGATCTGTTCTTCCAGTGAGCACTCAGGGCTGATTTCCTTCAGAATGGATAGGATTGATCTTCTTGCAGTCCATGGGACTTTCAAGAGTCTCCTCCAGCACCATAATTCAAAAGCATCAATTCTTCGGCAATCAGCCTTCTTTATGGTTCAGCTCTCACTTCCATACATCACTCCTGGAAAAGCTTTAACTATACGGACCTTTGTTGGAAAGGTGATGTCTCTGCTTTTTAAAATGCTGTCTAGGTTTGTCATTGCTTTTCTTGCTGTGGCAAAGGGGCTTGAATAACTCAGAGAAGCTATGAGCTATGCCATGCAGGGCCACCCAAGATGGACAGGTCATAGTGGAGAGTTTTGACCAAACGTGATCCACCTGGAGCAGGAACCAGCAAGCCACTCCAGTATCCCTGTCAAGAAAACTCCATGGACAAAGACAACAGGCATATAAAAGTTGCGTGAGTGCAAGCCCTAAAACAAGAAGCATAAATTAGAATATAAACTGCAAGGGGGAAACACCTCTTGAAAGCAATATTTCTTCTCCCCTCAGGCCAAACTGGTTCTTGAGTAGTCCTGCAGTGGTGGTGGTTGGAAGAGGCAGAAGTCAACTCAGCTGGAGCTAGATTGTAGGGTGTTTGTGATATCCGTGGCATGGGTATTTGGGAAGCAACATAGGAAGAAACTGCCTTAGGCTGTGCCCACTGCCTGGAATTCTTTAAGGGAAATAATGTGCTTTGAATGCACTATGAAGGTACTATCGCATGTAGACAGCCTTATACCGAAGCAAACCATTGGTCCATTAGTTCAGCATCGTCTATACCATCCCCTCCAACATTTCTCCGATGAAAATAGGGATGTCCCATGCCATAATGATAATTTTACTATTTATACCCCACACATCTTACTGGGTTGCTCCAGCCACTCTGCATGGCTTCCAGTATATAAATACAGTGATACCTCGGGTTAAGTACTTAATTTGTTCCGGAGGTCCGTTCTTAACCTGAAACTGTTCTTAACCTGAAGCACCACTTTAGCTAGTGGGGCCTCCTGCTGCCACCGCGCCGCCAGAGCACGATTTCTGTTCTCATCCTGAAGCAAAGTTCTTAACCCGAGGTAATATTTCTGGGTTAGTGGAGTCTGTAACCTGAAGCGTATGTAATCCGAGGTACCACTGTAATAATAATAAAACATTTAAAAAAAAAAAACATTTCCTATACAGGATTGCCTTCAGATTGCTCAGGGGTCCGATAACTCCATACCCTCCAACATTTCTCCAATGAAAACAGGGACATTCTAAGGAAAAGCAGGACATTCCAGGATCAAATCAGAAACCAGGATGGCTTCTCTACATCAGGGACGTCCCTGGAAAACAGGGACACTTGGAGGGTCTATTATACTGGCTGAGTCCTCGCTCGTTGCTGCAGTCATCAAGTTTTGAAGATGCGCGTGTGAACCAAGTGGTACAGGAGGGTCTCCCTTGTGTATGGATAACGAATAGACTTTAAAAACAAACACACTTTAGTTTTATTGAAAGGCTTAGATGCGACAACACATTCTGCATTTCTGCATGAGGCACAAGATCAAAGGGAAAGATGCGATAGGCCTTACTTTCTCGGGGTTATTTTTATGGACACTTACAGAATCCTAGATTGGCAGGCAATAACTCCAGGTAATCGATTTCTCAGAATCTTAAAAGTGCAAACGCTGGCCTTCAAATAATTGTTCAATACATCCATTATGCCAGGCTTCCCCCCCCCCCCCCTCAAATATTCAACCATCCAAGGTCTTAAAGTTGCAGGCTTTTTTTTAAAAAAAGAACACATATTCTGCATCCCAAAATGCACTCACTCCTAATTGTTTTCATTAAAGATACCAGCCAATCCAAATGCATACCAATTCATTAACCTTCTCACTTTAAGCTGATGAGGCCTTTAATTAACAGCAGCTCCTTTCTAATCTTCCTATCATGGACAGCCCTGTACCATTAGTAAGTCACGCCACAAAGTAACTGGAAGGAAAGAGGAAAGATGGAAAACCTCCCTCACTATCTTATCTGGGGAAATTGACCAATACCTAACTTGAAGGAGCGTCTCCACTCCCATCGTTCTGTCCAGACACTGAGGTCCAGCGCCAAGGGCCTTCTGGCTGTTCCCTCACTGCGAGAAGCCAAGTTATAGGGAACCAGGCAGAGGGTCTTCTCAGTAGTGGCACCTGCCCTGTGGAACGCCCTCCCACCAGATGTCAAAGAGAAAAATAACTACCAAACTTTTAGAAGACATCTGAAGGCAGCCCTGTTTAGGGAAGCTTTTAACGTTTAACAGACCACTGTATTTTAATATTAGGTTGGAAGCTGCCCAGAGTGGCTGTGGAAAGCCAGCCAGATGGGCGGGGTATAAATAATAAATTTATTATTATTATTATTATTATTATTATTATTATTATTATTATTACTACTACTACTACTACTACTAACAGAGTGGCAGTCTGGTGCCTTAAGGATTCCAACTAGCTCTTTTAAGCAGAAGTCCCTGGCAAAGTGGGAGAGGAATGAGCTTCTTGGATGGGCTGGGGGTGGAGGTGGGGACAGGACGGACTTCCTTTTCTTCATAAACTCTGTAGTTTTTACATGTTTTTCAACTTTTCTTGAACTCATCAGTCAAGGTCTTTTTTTCTACTCTTGGAAGGAGTTTCCCACAGATTGAGCCAACAGTATTTTCTGTACATTGCCAATTAAAAATGATAGAATCTTCACCTGCAGATGCCTCTGCCGTCATGTTTATAACCTGCCTCACTGGACAAGTCTAGCAAATTCCTAATCTCTAGTTGGTTGGTTGGTTAAGAGGAAAAAATGGTCCTAACTTTATGTGCAAAGGATCCCCATGAGGGTTCATTGTCCTGGCAACACAATGCTCTCCTGCTCATTCTTAAACGTGGGATTACCACTCTCTCTCCATATGGGTACCATTTGTTGTTGTTGTTGTTGTTGTTGTTTAGTCATGTCCGACTCTTCGTGACCCCATGGACCAGAGCACGCCAGGCACTCCTGTCTTCCACTGCCTCCCACAGTTTGGTCAAACTCATGCTGGTAGCTTCGAGAACACTGTCCAACCATCTCGTCCTCTGTCATCCCCTTCTCCTTGTGCCCTCCATCTTTCCCAACATCAGGGTATTTTCTCACGGAGTCTTCTCTTCTCATGAGGTGGCCAAAGTCCTGGAGCCTCAGCTTCACGATCTGTCCTTCCAGTGAGCACTCAGGGCTGATTTCCTTCAGAATGGAGAGGTTTGATCTTGCTGTCCATGGGACTCTCAAGAGTCTCCTTCAGCACCATAATTCAAAAGCATCAATTCTTCAGAGATCGGCCTTCTTTATGGTCCAGCTCTCACTTCCATACATCACCACTGGGAAAACCATAGCTTTAACTATACGGACCTTTGTTGGCAAGGTGATGTCTCTGCTTTTTAAGATGCTGTATTGTACCACAATATTGTAAAATATTGTACAAAAATATTGTAAGGGACGTGAGTGGCGCTGTGGGTTAAACCACAGAGCCTAGGACTTGCCGATCAGAAGGTCGGCGGTTCGAATCCCCGTGACGGGGTGAGCTCCCGTTGCTCGGTCCCTGCTCCTGCCAACCTAGCAGTTCGAAAGTACGTCAAAGTGCAAGTAGATAAATAGGTACCGCTCCGGCGGGAAGGTAAATGGCATTTCCATGCACTGCTCTGGTTCGCCAGAAGCGGCTTAGTCATGCTGGCCACACGACCCGGAAGCTGTACGCCGGCTCCCTTGGTCAATAAAGCAAGATGAGCGCCGCAACCCCAGAGTCGGCCACGACTGGACCTAATGGTCAGGGGTCCCTTTACCTTTGCTGTACCACTATGATGCTCGGCCCTCCATAACAGAGGCCAACCAGAGAATTTTGAGAAGCAAAGCAGCTAGTAAGCTTGATCTTTATTGATCTGTTGCAACAGGGTGCTCCCCTCACACGCAGGAGAGGAGGAGGACCCACAAAAATGCTGTGCAAGGGCTTATAAAGACTTTTGAAATTCCCATCCTCTAGATCAAGACCACCCCCAGAAACATTATGCATTCATCACAGAAGGGGTGTAACCTAAGACCACCCCTCAGATACATCCCACCTACATCACAGAAATTTAAATGTTGTTTTTCTCCTGTCACAGTTTATCTCCTGTCTGGCAAGTTACTTGATTGGATTGCCTGGGGAGCCTGGGCATTCTTTTGTAGTGGTAAAATACTTATTTCCTGGGCCAGGTCACAGGCTCACACCTTATTCAAACAGACATATCCTTGAGACAG